CCCCAAAACCCCAAAACCCCATAAGTTGATATAAATTGATTAGATCAAACAGTAATAATAAATTTAAATTTAAAATAGAAAATGAAGCAGTAGTCGAATTAACAAAATTTAAGTAAGATTGTGGTAACTTTGACTCTACCTACTCCAACAGATTCAAGATAGAATTCAGCCTCGTTTATGGATAGAAATCTATCTCCTAATGCTTAATAAAATGAAAATAACTCGAACTAGTTATAAGGAGGTTCATCACATTACTTATCTAGTGAAAGACAAATATACAGTAAGATCATTTACCTTAATAATCATTTTCATTAAGATTCAATATTGAAGGCTAATCTCATGAATAATAGAAGAAGCCTTAGTAATACTAGGCTATTTGCATAAAGCTCAGCAATACAAGGTATAAAAAAGAAGAGCTAAAATGTGAATCAGTAAAAAGATACCATGATTTAGCCGGATCAATCAACAACAAAGCGCAATTAAACTCCGAGAAAAAGCAATATAAGCTAGTACAATTTTTATACACCTCTTGACGAAGAATATGAAGAACTTAAAGAAAGATAAAGAAGAGAGCAGCTTTGGAGGGAAGAAGAACAAAAGGAATTAGAGGAAATAAAGTCTAAATAATATAGAAAATCTCTCAGAGACACATAGGATGTGAAAACAGTTATGGATGATTTTAAAGAGTTGAAACTCAGATCAGATTTCGATTATTCTAAAGTAGATCTGTTCAATTAAGAGCAAATAGGTCAAGAAATAGATAGTTTAAAGAAACCGAATGCAGATGAAATAACTAGTTCAACTAAAATTTAGTACCTAAGGAAGATTTTAAATTCTGGCGCGAATATCTTTAAAGATCTGACAGATAACTAGAAATTTAGATTAAAAGATCTTTCACAGCATATCTTACTATCTAAAGACTTCAAGCCACTATAAAGTGAAGCACTGTCATTTATAATTCTACAAGCACTGTCCTATCAGCAAGATATACAAAGTATCTTGCATTATGTAGCAGATTTAATTGATACTTTCACTGAAAATCTTGATTAAATCTAAATCGAACTTGCATAAGTTTAAAAAGTTTCCATTAAATCTCTTTCGGAAATAGTTTAAAGAAAAGTCCTATACTAGTCCTCTCATAGGATATTCATTTAAACTTACATTTTGCTAACTATTGTATAATCAATGATTATAAAGCAAGATTTTGATAATGCTCTTGATCATATGGCTGAAACATGTAATGGGTTAGCTCATAAGCTGATATCCAACGTAATTTAGCAAGAAAAAGATTAAAATAGCTAAGCTCTCTTATTGAACATGGTCATTTAAGATTTGATTGATATTTGTTATCATGAGTGTGTAGAATTCCCAGTTGGAACTCTTATTCTAAAATCTATTGTTCTCTAACTAATTCAGTACATTTAAATGGAAGGATCTAATAGCATTTAAAACATGAAAGGTGAAGATGAATAAATAGACAATTTCAAATAAAATCCTGCTGATCTAAATCACAAGTTGATCTTTGCTGATATGCTCACTCTAATAATGACTAAAGCCCAGGATATTATCATGTAGTCATCTAAGTCTACAAATTTATGCTACTGTGACACTAAAATATTAGAAGGAGATACTGATGAAAATTATACTATCAAATGTGAGCATTGTCAAGTCATCTATCATTACAAATGTATGAATCTTAAAAGAATTAAAACTCATAAAAAGAAGTTTATATGTTTGACGTGCTAAATAAATCTGCAAGAATACAAAATAAAGAGTATATATTAAAACCATTTGGATTTAAAAGATTTTTACTAATAATAACAATCTGGTTACTATGATTTTACAAGTGCATTAAGCTATACTATAATCAAGTAGCAATCTATAAACCAAAGGCTATTAAATTCCAATAAGAAAAATTAAGATGAACTCCTGAATGAATATAATGAAATTCAAAAGAGAATGCAGAATTAAGATAAAACTTGGATCACTCGGGGCTAAACATTGAATATTACATACATCAGATATTTAATGAGATACCTTAATATTGAATTAGAGTTGAGAGATATTCTGCAAGCTCTCAAAAATACCATGCTATGTATGAGTTACTTTAGATAGGCAACGATAAGGGCAAAAGCAATTAAAGCTATAAAAAGCATTATCAAAATCAATCCAGAGAATTTGTTAGATGCAAATGTTCAGTAAATTATCCTCCTTCGATTAAAAGATTAAAGCGCGAATACTAGAGAAACTACATTAGATCTGGTATCTTAATATATTCAAAAATTCGTTGTCAAGAATCAAGCATAGAATGAGTAAGTAGAACTTGAATTCTAGAAGAAATTTGTTGGAACTTATTTACCTATTATAATTGAAAGAGCAGATGACAGCAGTATATGTGTTCGCAAGAAAGTCGTCCAAATCCTTGCATACGTTTTACAATAGAATAAACATAAATAGAGCCAGATGTCTATTGATAGTTCATAGATTATTAGAGTATTAATACAGAAATGGGAGGAATCTAATGATTAGATTAAAGAAACTATCTCAAAAGCATTTAGAAAATTAATTAAAGTTCAAACCAATAAGAAAGGAAGCTAGGCTAAAGGAATATCTTAGTTAATTTGCGGTATCATTCAAGGACTCATCTAAAAATATGATAAAATAAATAAAAACGTAGTAAAGGCTCTCACATAGATAATTGAGTAGACTATTGGAAGTGATTCAGATATGAAGAATATGACTATCTTAGACTAGTATGGGCTTGAATTAGTCGATATTTCTATTAATTTGCTTATCGTTCAAGAATAGAATTCATAAGTTCACTAGTCTCAACTAATATTTATTGAGATAATATCAAGATTAAGACCTGCTCTCTTGGTCAAGAGGATTTCTCTTCTTAATAATATGAGTGTAAGATTTATTTGATTTTACTTTATTTAGGACTAAGTGAGCGATTTTGGAACAAAGGCAAAATTTATTTCAGTTGTGAATCGAATTTTTACATTTATGAACAATAATAAAGATGAGGGGTGGGAAGATCAAATTTCCTTCAAAGTTATCAATTCAATTTTCCAATCAACTTTGAAGTTAGTTAACCAAGAACCTATAAAGTTACTAAAAAAATCTATTAAGTAAATTATTACCAAACCTAAATATTCATAATAGACTTTTGTTCAATATTAGCCACTCTCAAAATGAATTAAAAGCTATCAAATAGATCTATGATAAATCTTATCTTTATTTGCACTCAGAGAAAAGTTTAAATGAAAACAGACATGGGCAAAATCAAGATTAAATCAGACTAAAGCTGTTACTTTTTTCAAGATCCATTCTTATTTTAGGCTATACTCATTACTTTTCTCGAATTTACAAGCTGTCAAAAAATCTTGATCTCTACGACATTAATCTAATTTATCAACTATTCGTTGGAATAATTACAAATCCAAGCCAAAATACAAACTTAATTGAAATGTAAATATAATATATTATTATTTCATTTTAGTGCTTTAGAAAGTATCTCTTATCTTTGGCTATAATATCCAGAGTTAATTATGGATCATGAGATGTTTTAAAACTATGAAAGAGTTTATGAAGTAATCTACAAAATGCTTTAAAATTAAAATATCAATGAGATGACTCTTGTCAGAATGATTGAAACTTAGGTAAAGTTCATGGAAGACTATGATGAAAGATTAATTACAGCTAATCAAACAGATTTAAGTTCAATCTTCTCAAAACTTCAAAAGCAAGTCTTAAGATTAGCTGAGCTATATTAGCCAAAATAATTTCCTGACATCTTCCACTCTAAGTCTAGCAATCTTAGGTATTCATTGAGCAAGCTAATTGAAAAGCTTTTTTAATTGAATGTTCTTCATATGATCGAGACATGTCCATACTTTTTACTAATGTTGAATGATACAAGTCCCAGAATAAACGAAATTGCCATTGTAAATCTTGAAATTATTGCAAATAAAAGATATGAAGTAATTGTATCTTGTTTCTAGCCCAACTTAATTATTGAGAGAGCTTATGATATGTAGTCCCTACTAGTAGGTAAAAACAAAGAAATGATATCAGTTTTCTAAAAGTACAAAGACTAAAACAATGATAGATTATTAATTGATAATAATTCTAGCGTGTATGATGAGATTTTGAAAGTTCTATCACATTAAAATGACTCAGTCATTGATACCATAGTTAAAAATATTTTATTGTATTTGGATAATAGAGAATTTGAGGGTAAAAATAAAGATGCTATCTTTGAAATGATTAAATTAGCCTGTGAAATATTGATTACTGCTTTAAAGCATTCAGTCGATTTAGATTCAACAATAGCTATTGTTTAAGATTATGTCTCAAACAAGGAAGTGATTTATTATAAAAAGATTAAAGAATCTCTAACTTTATAGATAAAGAATTTTTAGTTATCAGATTATATAAATGGCTATGTTCTTGTTGCACTTAAGTCAAGTGTGAATTTAATGTTAAAAATTAAGTAAATCAGTAAGAAGTAAAGCTAAGAAGTTTTAGATCGTAAATTTGATGATTTCTAAATTAAAGATAAAAAATAAATTTCTAACGGTTTAATGCAAAAAATATTAAAAGAGTAGAATCAAGTTATTGATCATATTTCAGAATATCATTTGCAAGTAGAATAAAATTAATTAAATTCTTAAAGATACTATGATTAATTATCAATTCTTAAAGATGGTCTTAAGTCTTTGATAAGGGAGAAAGAAAATTAATTTAAGTTGAAGATTGAAAAGAGACTATACGGAAAAATTAGATAAATAGATAATGATGTAAAGGAAAAGAGGCGAGCGAATATAAAATCTATGCATGCAAATCAGCCTTACAATAAGAAGAGAAAGCTAAACGAAATAAATAATAATGGTCTTGAAGATCTGAGTGATTCTAAGGAGGTGGTAGATGCTAGTTATTAGGATCTATAAAGAGTGAAAAGACGAAAAGTTTTAGCAACCGAGAAAGTCAAGCAAAGAAGGCTTACTCGCAAAAATGGTAGTAGTGTATCTGATTAGTCTGAATCAGATTATGCTGATTGAGTTGTAAGAGGAATAATAATGGTTAGAAAATATATTATTGATTGATTTATTGCTATTAATTATTTTAACATTTAATCTGAAGATTAACTGATGGGGTTTTGGGGTTTTGGGGTTTTGGGG